TACATTCCCTCGTTTCCTTGTTCCTCTCCATGTACTCCGTGTTTGAACGCTCCTTATGATCTGAAGCCAGTCTTATAGTGAGTGGAAATTGGCAGCACCTGAGACTCCACATATGGCAGTGAAGTTTTTAATGTAAATCCTGTGCTGCAGATGACTAGACAGATGCTGAATCAAGAAGGTGCCTTTTGTAAGCTGTAACCCTGATTCACTAATACCTGTGGTGTGTGGCATGGGAACATGCACCATTTAACTCAGTGGAAAGCTGCGGTGTTAAATTACTGTTTGTAATTTTATATATATATATATATATTATTTATTATCACAGAAGAAAATTAACTAATTACAGTTTTCTTTCTGTCCTTTTGCTTTTGCGCCTTGTTTGCTGCTCTTTCTCTGTCACCAGCCATCTTTGCTTGGCACTGAGTCCCGCCACCCCTCGCCACCCTCGCAGCCTGGCCCCCATGCATCTTCAGCCAAGCTTCGCAGGAGATGCAAGGAGAGTGCTCGAACAAAGTCGTTCAGTTGTGAGGCACCCAACGAGAGCCCTGCAAAGCACGGCGAGCTGGAGCCGGGCTCTGACAGAAAGGGGCGAGTTTGCTCCACCGAGCAAGACGTGGCTTTCGGCTATAAGCAAAAAGCCGGCAAAGGTGGAACGCTGTTTTCCTTCTCCTTGCAACTTCCAGAGTCATTTCCTTCCCTCCTGGATGACGACGGCTACCTGTCGCTCCCTAACCTCTCTGAAACCAACCTGCTGCCTGCCAGCGTGCAGCACTACCTCCCCATCCGCTCCCCCTCCCTGGTGCCTTGCTTCCTCTTCATTTTTTTCTTTCTGCTCTCTGCCTCTTTCTCAGTGCCATACGCCCTCACTCTCTCCTTTCCTCTGGCTATGTGCCTCTGCTACCTGGAGCCCAAGGCGGCCTCCTTGAGTGCCTCACTTGCCAATGACCTGAGTGACAGTTCAGAGGAAGAGGTGTGTACCTCGGCATCGAACACGCCCTTTTTCGTGTTCAGTGCTTCAGTCCTAACCAGTGTTAGATTGCTGCAAGAGTGGTCCTACTTTCAGAGCCTCATTTCTGTCTGTGCTGATATGGTAGAAGGGATGTTTTGGGGTTTTTTGTTTGTTTGTTTGGGAGGGGTTTTTTTCTTCTTTTGTATTTTTTTCTTGTGTTGGGAGTGCAGCTTGGGGCCCAGGGTTAGGCACAACACTGTGTAGAAGTGGCTTGGTTTGAACTGTGTCGGCTGATGCAAAGTGACTTGAACTAAACAAATTGCCATTGATCAGCTCTGAAGCATTGTATCTGGACTCACCTAGACTTTTTCTTCCCCCCATCAGTTTGTACTAGATTTAGACTAGTTATCTAAATAGTGAGAAGTGCAGTTTCCTGCATAATTACATATGCATGCATATATATGTGTATGTATGTACATTATATTTATATAAATAGCTAGCCAATAATAATGGGCACCCTCGCCAACTTCAGAGTGTTCAAAATTCAGGTGGACTCAGCTTTTAGCAAGAGGCCATCAACTGTAGCCTGAGCCCAGAAAAGACTTTCTGGTCCAGTGAAACCTGAATATAGATTTTCAGCCTTCATCCCATCTCTACTGCAGATTAAATTGTTTCCCCATGCTTAAATCCGATGTGTCAGGAAGAGGTCAGATTGGGACAGCTGTTCTGCAGCTGTTGGGGGAGAACGCCACGTGGGCTGTCTTGCCATCCATTTGCAGTGTTATATTAGCACCGCCGAAACCGATGCCTCAAGCCACCAGGGTTATCACAAGCAGATAAACCAGCTGCAGGAGCAGTCCACAGTGGCTCTGGGACCTCTGGGTAGGATAATCTATCCAGAAGAAGGAAAGGAATCTGCTTCTTTAAGTAACACAGGAACTATCATCTCACTGCTGGTGCCTAGTTATTCTTTGTTGACAGAATAAAATGATGAGTTCCTCTTTTCCTCGTTTTTCCTTTTTCCCCATCATTTTCAAATGTGAAAATACAGTTTTGCTTTGTATGTAAAAAAAAACCCAGATCAGATAATCACAGACTCATTGGCCACTTGTAAAAAGCCGTCTCGGCCACTTGTCGATGCCGTTGCCGTAGTTGTCTTCAGTTAGCCAGCTTGCACATCTAAACATTTGTGTAATCTGCCGCTGTTGGTTTTGTAAGACTTGGTGCAGGATTTCGCTTCCTTTTTATGGAAAGCCAAAAGTCGCATCAATTTATCTTGTAAAAACATTGTCTTTAGACGCTTTTGGCTCTGTGATGCTTGACAGCTATAAACAATAATGTGCAATTTCTGATAAAAGCCATCCAAAATGTTGCTGTCTCATTTTGTGTCCTCATTTTGAGATAGCATTTGGGTCTCAATTTGCATTAGCTCTGCACTTGGATTAATCTAATAGTAATAACAGCATTAATACAGTGCCAGCTCCAGAGGCAATAATGAGGCAGTGTTTATGTAATACATTGGTCTGTTCCTCTTCCAGAAACGAGCACTTATTTTTGTTAGTAAAGTTAGGAAGTATTGAGCATAAAACCATATAAAATAGGCTTTTTAGCGTCGCTTATTTATGAGGGTGATTACTCTGGCAGTGTTTCCTGGCAGACAACACAGACTTGTGCCTAATCCAGGGGGTATTTCTTGTTCAAAATATTGCATGAAAGTGAATATGTTTTAAACTTGGGCATGTCTGCATTACATTGGCAAAACAAATCACAGCAATTAAGATGGCAAGTTAGGGAACATGCAGCTGCAGAACCTTAGGAGATAGCTGCCTTGGCCACCCCCGAGCCCCAGCAGCAGCTACAGTACCTCAGCCTGTCTCAGAGTTGAGCCCAACATTTCTTAATCTCCACTCCAGAGGAGACCTTCCTTGCTCAGGCTTAATTTACCATTCCCTGCTTTTCAATAACCCCAGATCTTTATTTCAAGTAACTCAGTAATGGTGACTTTGACCCCATGGCTGTTGATTGGCTTATTAACACACATGTATGTTGCAATAAAGCAAATTTTATGCCTTATTTAGGATTTTATTGCTGTTATGGTAGAAGAAATTGAAACCTTTCCCCGCTCCTGCCCCCCCGCCCCCAGTTCACAAAAGATTGCACACAATGATGCAGAAGGCTGCAACCAGTACCCTAAGCTAATCTCATACTTTGCTGAGCTCCGTTCTCCCTTGAGCAGTGCGTCTGGAGGCAGCCTGTGCAGTCAGAGGCAGAATTTCACCCCTTAGATTTCATTAGCTTCTGTGTTCGTACCTTATCAGCTAATATTTCTATTGACTAAATGCCTAGATTCATGAATTCCCCTTTTTTATTGTTGTTGTTGTAAATAGGAGTGCCAGCACATAGATTTTTTTTTTTTTTAACATTGCCATACCTTTACAATTGCTTATAATGCTATAAAGATGCGAGATCCTTCACTAATAAAGAAACAATTTTCTAACACTTTAGTGAAAGCAATTTGACTGGCTAGGTACACTATTTTGGCATTACAGTTTCATTTTAAAATAAAAGCAGTCTGTCTAGTGAGTGGTTATTGCATTAAAAATGGCATATAACTTGGCATTCGTGCACTTACGGAATAGTGCACAATGCCTGCTTATTCTTCTTCCTGTCATACAAGCAATACAAATTATTCAAAAGAAAAAATGATAGAGAAAAAAGCAATGAAAAATATCCAAAAAAGCAGTTTTATGAAACATTGGAGTTGTCAGAAAATGACAGAAGATAGGAAATTCAAAGTTAAGAGTGGTACTCCATCCACCAGTAGGTTGTTTTTTTCTCTTGTTTCATGCTGATACGACTTGAGGATTAGATGTATTGTCCTATCGTTAAATTACCTGCCTGGGTTACTTTAGATTATCCGAGCACCACAGAAAATCACTAATCAAAACCAGAGCTTTCCCTGATGTTAAAACAACGGGGATGTTCCAATCTGGGGCAGTAGGGAGCACTTCCTTTACTTAATGGTTTTCCATAAGCTTGCATAACATCAAAAATAGGCGTTTGAAATATCTTCTCAGCCTGTAGCAACCTACACTCAACTCTCTATTAAATCTCTGCACTTGCTTTCACCACTAAAATGTTCTTCACGGTGTCAAGCCAAGCAGGGATAGATCAGTCTGTGCAATGCTGTGCTTTGTTTCATTTTTATCACTTGTACCTAGTAAGTGTTTTTGGGGTGGGGAGGGAGTTACTTTTATTTTTCTCCTGCTTTCATCCATATTCTTAAATGGAATGACAAGTAATTTGGGTTCTTTTAATGGCAGTTTTCTTTCTTTTTACTCTCATTAACGATATCAACTGCTCTTTATTGGAACCGAGTGGGATTTGAGCCTTACCATTACTCTGCAGACAGACAGTAGATGGGCTAGGGGTACGGTTATTTGAACTCCTTGGTAATGCAGACAGCCTCATGGTGTATAAATGTGGAGACCAGAACAACTTCTGTACAAATGAGGGGCTGAAAGTCAGGTGACTGTTAAAATAACCTTTTTAAAAATTATTATTATTATATTTTCTCCCTCCAGATAAAAAAATCAAATACCACATTAATCTATATTGACTAGAACAAAAATTTGATTAATAATTTTCTTTTAAAAAAATTATGGGAGGAAAAGTTTGTTTAGAAAAATATTAGCTTCCCCCCCACACCCCCCTGCACCCCAGTTTTTCTTAAAGCCACCTGGCTTTCTTAAGAAAAAAAATCTACTATTCAAATAACACTTTTCCAGTAATGTTTTGTTTGGCTTATAAATTTGTTCCAGTAAAGCCATAAACCGTGTAAAGTATGCCTTGAGTCTTCCTCTGAGTCTGTTCTGTTTACTAATATAGCACTTTTATTTTGCTTCTTTGACTTGTGCGTGGTTTGAAAAGCAATGCTAATGCAGTTCACAGGGATGTTGAATTTAACAGTTCCCTGTGTGAGCCGCACGTACTGATGAGCTGGGTTTATTCTTTATTCCTGCCTTCCTCTTGGGACCCGGTTACTTGTCTAACCAAATAGACTGACAGTGAGCAGACGGATACTGCAGCTGATGGTGAGACCACTGCCACCGAGGTTTGTACAGTCGCCGGCACCCAGTTATGGCAGGGGGAGAGCATTTTGCCTCGTCTCGTCCCGACCCTGGGTGCCAAACCGCGTGTCTCCTACGGCGGTTCGGGACCCCTCTCTGCGCGCGCCTGCATGTCCGTGTGCACAAGAGCTTTGCTCAGGGAGCTGAGTTTCCAGTGCTCCTTACGGGTTCCTCTTGTTTCTGCGTTTGCTTTGGAAGCTGTGAGGCCTCGGTGCTGTGTGGATAGTGGGGTGGTGGCAGTGTCACCCACGCCAGCACCGTCTGTCTGCTGGGGACAGTCGTGCTGGCCAGATTGTGTCCCGGGTTGTTCCGTTTGCTTGTTTGCTCTTATAATCTACAGCCGGTGTGTGTGTGTGTGAGAGAGAGAGAGAGAAGCGAGGAAAAAGACAGTAAAAAGCAGTTTTCAAATTTTCTGAATAAAGGTTTTTCCAGTTTATAAACATCTAAGGTTTTCCTTGAATGTAATTTCACATGTCACCTTCAAGTATTGCCACCAGTACTCCAGGTGGTGTCTTCAGAGAAGGCCACGTTGTATTTTCTCTACACTGAGAAGCCTCATATCCGCAAGATGGTATATAGACTGTGCAGGCAAATTCAACCCTATGTGGCTCCAGTGAAGTGTGTATAATGCTTTCATAATGAATATGGTTGCAGCTGCAAACATGAGCTGAATTTGCTCTGACATGTGGTAGAAAACAGAGTTTTAGCACAAACACTACTGTAGGTTTTCAGTAGGATCTCATTAATATTTCAGACCATTAAAATTATCGTCAAGGAAAAATTCTCTGTATGACGTGTCAGGGCAATTCAGCCTCAGCTGTAAATAGAATAGATTTGAACTGAGTTATAAAGTGATCAACAGATAAAGATTTTCCCATAGGTCATTCGACTAATGGGGACTATATGAAAAATTAACAATAAAATAAATGGTGGCACGAGCATTAAAAAAAATCCAGACGGAGTAACAACATAAAGTCTGTTGAGACAAGTCAGAAGTAGAGAGTGCCTCTTGTGCTGTATGTCGTCAGGCCTTGAGCCCTGCAGAAAACAAAATGTAATCCTAAAGCAGTGACATTTAAAATGTTCAGTTTATTAATCAAAAACGCATGATAATTTCTTTTAGGGGAGAAGATGATGTGAACCTCAATTTTCCTTATGGATACCTGATTTTCAAAAAGTGGGGCATATTTGCCCTCTGAAAATTCATCCCTCAGAAGTGAGGCTGCTTGGGCATGTTGCATTGAAAATGTGAGCTGGAGTGAATGTGATGTGTATGCCATTCCAAAAGACCATCACTGCAGATCTTGAAAGAATATGTACAGGCTAAATATGAAATTGAATTATGTAAATAGAGGAAGAGACTGGGGCTTAGGGAAATAGCATTTAAAACAAATGAAATCTGCTTCATTCGGTACGAAGTGTTGTGGGTCATTTACCCGTGGCAAGTTTATGCAGAGCTTTGCCTGTGGCCCAGGATATGTCATATGTTTAGACTCTGACATTGTGGATTTCCAAAGAATTTGCTATTGCCATTTGGTCCTAAACCAGCCGTGATCATGGTGAGAAGACCCAGATGCTGCTCTCTAAATAGAGACCTATGAACATGGAGCACACTGATGATATTTATAAAAGGAAAATGTGTTACACTCCTTCATTCACAATTAAGAGGTTTGAAAAGAGGAGGCTTGCTCTGAGTTATGAGAACCATGCAAAGTCGACCAGCGTGTCTACTCCTTCTCCTTCAGCCCTTAGCCTAGAGAAAACATAACCTTAAAACCTAGTCTGTTCTTCTCACCAATTTTTTTAAAGCCTTCAGCCATACGAGTGGGTAAGGTGTTGTTTTCCAATCTTTCTCATGCTGGCAGTCGGATCAAGAGGAGGATGGAGATCTAAAGGCACAGGTACAGAAATGAAAGGCCCAGATGTTGCTCAAGTATCAATGTTGGAGGTGTTCACCTCTCTCAGCATGTTATTGTCAGTTCTCTGTGAAAAAATGTGTAGAAACAGCATTTTGTATCCTTTCAATACTGTGTCCCTTACCTTTCCCTTTCTTTTTCACTTCTTTCAGAATAGTCTGATTAAGCGAATACAGGGTGAAAATGTGTATGTCAAACATAGTAATCTTATGTTAGAGGTTGGTATTGGTATATACCAGTGCATGTACGTACCTGTGTGTTAGTTTTAGTGGTAAACTGTGAATCTGCACTATGATGCATGGACTGTGTATTCCCACCTGCTAATAAGTCAAATTGATATTTTTTTTCCTCAGATTATGGTAACTCCTCTAACTTGTACTATAAATATATATATATGCGTGCACGTATGTGTGTGTGCGTCCACGCGCATATGTATGTTTGTTTGAAGCCTCTTTTTTAGGTGTAAATTATAGTGATACAGATAAACTCTTGAAGAGTATTTTTGTACTCTATTGTACAAGATATGCTATGCTGTTATCTTTCAAAATGCCACATTTTCACAGAGTGTTGTGTTAGTGCTGTGCTCCCTGAGACGTTACTTCCCTGTTACTTTACTAACCAAGTTGTGTGCTTTGGCTCTAAAATTTGGTTGATTTAGGATGTATTACAAACTGCTATGTTCTTTTAAAACTGTCCAGGACCTAGACAAAACCCAGGAAGATCTGATGAAACATCAGACCAATATAAGTGAGCTGAAACGCACCTTCCTGGAGACCTCCACAGAAACGGCTGTGTCTAACGAGTGGGAGAAGAGGCTTTCCACATCTCCCGTTCGGCTTGCAGCAAGGCAGGAGGAAGCTCCTATGATTGAACCACTAGTGCCTGAAGAGGTCAGCGTGAGCTGAAAGGCTTCATTACATATTTGTCTATGCGGTTTTACTTATAATAGCTCGTGGTAGATTTAGAGGCTGTAGTTAGAGGCCATTTCCCACTTGCAGGTACTCCTTTTTTCTCAGGACTTAGGCTGTAGCAGTAAACATGCAAGGAAGAGCAGATACCTTATGTATACATATATATATATATATATAGTTAGGGTATGAAATTCACTGTGAGCCGCATGGCAGAATTAGGTCTTTCAAAGAGTGCAAAACGCAGGCTTCCTTACAGGTTGGTTGGCTTGAGAAAGTCCAGCCATGCGTGAAAGAAACCATGAAGGTGATGGAGAGAAAATGTAAATAACGGTGACTGGTTGGGAGCAGTAGTGTAGCAGGACGGATGGGAGCAGCACCAAGCTTGACAAGAAAATACAGAGCAAAGGGCAGAACTCTCTCAGACTTTGAAGGTGGGGAAGAAATAATGATGATAATTAGACCTGCTTGGCCAGTTCCATAAGGGAACTGGTGGTTGCTGCTGTCTGCTAGTTACTGTTTTGTTGAAGACCCAATGCAGATTGCTAAGCGTGTGCATTTTCATGCAGGGCATGCGTGAAAAAAATCTTGCTCACTGTGCAGTCTTGAAACTTGCCAATTAAAAAGCTGCCTTTTCTTTAGTTTGTAGGTAGATAAGGAGATGTAGAAATAGCAGTGCAACATTCATGTTGCTGCAAAATACATATTGCTTCAAGAAAAGCAGATCGTCTTGGTTTATGTCCAGTGGAGCAAAAAGATATATGCTTGTGTGGTCTGCACGAAGATTAATTTTTTTATTCTGTTGTGGTTGGATGTCTGCTTTCTATCTACAAGAAATCATCTTTATGGTTACAACTTGTTTTTAGCATTACAGACCAATAAATGGTCATAAAAATTGCTTCTGTTACCTCAGCGCTGATGTAATGCTATAAGGAACTGTGCAAAAATTGGCTGGAAAGTATAATTTGGAAGAGTCCTCTGCTTTCCCACCTTAGAGGTTGGCATTGCAGACCCGCAGCTCTCTGGGGAAGGGAATCCTTGGAGGCAACCAGATAACACATCACCTTCTTCTCCTAGGGAATGGGATGTGGCCAGGGAAAAGGCCCCAGCTCCTCTTCTCCCCCATCACACCCATCTAACCAGTGGCTGGTACAGACAGACATGCATTAGAGTGACCGTCAGGTTGTATTAAAATACCTAAAATGCAAACTGGGTGCCTAAAGCTTGCCTTTTGGAGAGAGTGCTGAGGAGTCTTAATATTGGTCCTACTGCCTTGTTCAGGAATCATAATAGATCCTACGACCATGTTTGTTTGGTTATAGTTGAAAATAGAAGTATAATAAACATTTAATGTTTTAAAGATGTAAGGAACTGTTGAAAAGGAGTGGCTTGCTAGCTGAGCCTGAATCAGTGGAGTGCAGGTGAAGCAAACTTATAAACTCCCTCCGGTTCATCTCATGTCTTTATTACTTTAGAAATTTCATTAACATTTTTAATTAAAATGCACAAGCAGTGGCAAAGCATTACATAGTTATGTAGGCTTCATCCTGAGGAAATACATCCAAATTTAACCATTCATTTGGAAAGGAAAAGGGCAAGAGTTATCCTTATCTGGTACCTCTTCTCTTACTGGAAGAAAAGGACTTGCTCAAAAGCAGTGTCCAGTTACTGTATCTTACATGGATCTAAGTAAACTACAGCTGTTCCACAGAATCTCATCCAAATGAAAGCATTTCTGTGGGAAAATGTGAATGGATTTGAGCTATCAGAACCTGACTCTGAGGTGACTTCTGTCACTAAGGGGCCCCTGCTGTAGATAACATCTGACCATCCTTTTTGGTCCCACTGAGCAGGATGGTTTCAGTTCACATGTCCTGCTGAGAGAGGAAGTTTTCAGGAAAAAACTGACGCCGTGCTTATGTCAAAATCGGCACCTTGATGTCTACTAGGAAATGCAGAGGCAGTCAGGATAGAGAGCACATAGAATTGCATTATGTAATAGCTTCTTCTAGTCAAAGAAGTTACACATTTAACTGAGCATATCCACTTTAAAATTTTATTCAGTGCTGTTACCTGTAGCTTTTTAACGTAATAAATCAAGAACAAGGAAGGACAAAACATGCATTTTCAAAATGTGTGCTTTGAGCATTTGGCACCTGTGTGTTTTCGGTCAGTTTGACTTTAAGCCTGTCCAATCACCAGTGGGTTTCTTACAATAATAGGGGAAATACTTTGGTTTTCTTTAGTTATTAAAAACACAGTTTTAAATATCGCCTGTAACCGTGGTTGAATAGTTGCAAAACATGAAAGCCATCATATTAACAAACTCCTTGATGGTGTTTAATCTGACCTGGACTGGATTAAACCAGCACTTTAGAAATAAAGAAGTCATGCATCTCATTACAGTCAGGCAGTTGAGCTGTTTCTCCCTTTCTCTCTCAAGTTTCTAGAAGTTTTGTATTTTTCTTTAAATGTGTACCTTTCTTCTTGAGTACATGGAGTATACGTATTTAAAATGATACGCTAGGAAAAGTATCTTAGGAAACTGAGTCTTACTGACATTTAAAACTGTCCTAGTTGGCCAAGTTGCAGAGATACTCTTATTCTCATAGCGTTGGGAAGGCGCAGATGGGATGAAGGTGAGGAGGATTTTGGTATCGGGCTATAGAGAATGATACAGCAATGGTCAGCTTCCTGCATGGCAACAAGACTTTGAGACCTCTTGTACCTGTAAGGAGAAAAGGAGAGCTGAAATCTCTCCTGAGTACACCTTCTGCCTGCTTCAACAGGGAAGGCTGCAAACTCAGGGAAGAGCTAAATCCAGGGTGAAGGTGGAGGGAGCTGTTCTAGGCTATTGATGGAAGCCATGGACGTTGGCACCGGGCACAGTTAAATGAATAATAGAAGATGAGCAGGGTGCATCCACACCTGGTGTTATTCAATTTATTGTTTTTTCTGCTACGCAAACAGTATGCTCGTGTCTGCTTTGCGTCCATCACAGAGAGACACTGATTTCACTTCTTATTGGAAACTTCTTTGCTGTAAAATTATTCTGTTTAACTCTGTTTCCTAATTTACTGTGCAATTAATAATTTGTAGAGTGGAGTAATATTATGAGCTATTGTAAAGTATAGTAGACTATATAACCCTCCGTTTACTAAAACCATTTATTCCCCTGACATTAGACCAAAGAAGAAAGAGAAAAATCAGAAAAACTCATATTTTTGCAGAAGGGAGGTACTACATTCCTTGAATTGCAGGTAAAAACAAATAATACTTTCTTGAAATGCAGTCTTGATAGGCTGGCAATGATTTCTTATTTTCTTATCTTTTTTTCTCTCCATGCCACTTTTTTTTAGTTCATTTATTTCATAAGTTCCAAAGGTAGATGTAATCTGGGGCCCAAATTCTGAGGAATGAGTACCCTTCAGAGTTTATGGCTTCCTAATAGAGACTGATTTCTCTGCTACTTCGAAACCTACTTGCATGATGCTGTTTGTGGATGTTGTTTGCAGTTGTGCATGTGTTTCCAGCGTAAGCCTCACTGAGAACATTATGGTGAATGGGGCACTTCTGTCATTAGAATGAATTTCCTTTATACTATCAAGTGAATTCGGATTATGCTGAGTGATGGTGAACTTTGTGTTCTTATTGGTTTTTCTATTAGCCAAGTGTGATAGAGAAGAAGCTGCAGGAAGGAGAATCTGCTGGCACTTTGGTTACTTCTCATCAAATCATTATCCAGAAAACTATCCCATCATCCCTAGAGGTTGTTTTTAATTAATTCAATTTTAAGCTAGCACATTTGCTTAGTTAAATGCAGAATTTATGGTCTTAAGGTCAAATAACTGGATGCCGATTGCATAGCCAAAGCAAATCACATAGCATGTTTGCATAAAGAGGAAAACAGATGCTGTATTAAGTTCAGTAGTATGTCATTTACTGGGTTGTGCTACTAAATTTAAACAATGCTGAAGGGGGTTGATGTTATTCTAATGAAAACAAGGAAATTCAGTGCAGACTACAGCTACGTATAAATGCATACTGTTCTAAAACCTCCTCAACAGTGTGTTTGTCACAACTGGGGAACAGTTGAATGGGTTTATTTGCCCTATTTTTGTAATTTGGTATGAACCATTGTGATACATGATTTTTAACCCTAGGATTATTCCAATTGTCATTTTAAATGATGCATTAAAACACTGTCCTGCTTCAAATTACTACAGAAATAGCGTTGCAAAAGCAACTTTTTTGCATCCGCATTATATGGGTGTCTAAGGGGAGGGAATATACAAAGGAATCATACTTTGCCTAAGGTGATACTGTTTATTTGTTTGATAACTGGTCTAAGAGGTGCAATGGTAAAAGTTATTACATGCTTTCAGAAGAGGCAGCATTGATTTCTTAAAGGTCTTCATACTTTAGTGCTCCTGAAGTAGAGATAAACCTTCAGATATTCTAATTTAGCTTTTATATCTCAAATATAGGGCACTGAGGATTGGGTTATTATAGACAAAATACCCTCTGAGGTAGTTGATGGTGAATCGAAAAAAAAGCTGGCATACAAAGTAGTGACTGTGAGCAGTAAAACTGCCCTTCCACCTGAGATAATAAAATCCAGTACCGTTCTAATGCAGAGCTTTGAGGACTTGGAAAGTGAAATTCAATCCAAAGAGGAGCATAAACAGAAAATGTTCACCCTAGGAAAGTCCTATGATACCGTATCCGGGAAAATCGTAACCATGACAAGTAAAGCTAAAGAGGCTGAGAAAACGGTACAGCCTTCAGTAGAAGCTTTGCAAAAAATGGAAAGGGAAGTGCAAGAATCTGTGAAAACCATTCCGGTAGTGGCCGAGTATGAAATCCTCGAGCCTGTCACTGATGAAAAAGCCAGGCGGGGATCCGACGTGCAGAGCACAAAAAGAAAGCTGTCCGACTCTCTGACACCCATAAAGGAAGCAGAATCTCAGTTGCAAAGTCCTGAAGAAGAGAGTTTGAAAAAGACACTAAAGATGGACCAGGATTTGCAGTTACATGGTACACTGGGAAGCTTGCAGCTTGGCAAAGCAGAAAAACACCTTGGCAGTGAAGCTGTAAAAGCAGGGGCATTTGCCCGGAGAGATAAGAGCCTGTCTGAGTGGAGATATTCCAGAGAACAGCCATTTACCATTGCTACTGCTCACTATGTTACTGAGTCGTCTGCGTCAAAAGTAGTGGTAACAAGTGGCTTTGACTTCACGCCACGGTTTAAAGATTAAAGCATGACTTTAATTTTAGGCAATCCCCTCACACCACCCTACCTTTCGGTTCTCTTGCTGCCTGGCTTTATGTTGACAGCAGCCAATCCAGCTTATTTTTTTCCCCTCATACTTTGAATCTGTCCCACGGTCTGAAGCAGACATTATATAAGGCTTTCAAACTTTCTGGTTTATTTAAAAGATCCATGTTACTGAAATGCAGTATTGCTGCTGTGGCTTGTTAATAAAAGGAAAAAAAAAGGTTTGCTTGAAGCAGCAAAATGCCCACGCTAACAACTATGCTTCGTAACTATTGCTTACTACAGCCGTTATGAATTTGCTCTGATTTATTTTCCCATTCTTTTCCTGTCTCCAACCTCTCCGTGCCCCTGCAACCTTCTCTCCCTTTCCTCCATCTCTGCCTCCGGTTTTGACAATTAATATGTCTGTGCATGTGGGTCTGCCTTTCTTCTCTGTATGACTCTACATTTCTTTGTCTATTTAGACTAAACAGTCCACCGGTGAAAAAACCTTGGATGGTTCAGATATCTTCAGTTTAATAGAGTCTGCCAGAAAACCGACTGAGTTCATAGGAGGGGTTACTTCTACTTCTCATAGCTGGGCTCAGGTGGCCGTTTGATTCCCTCCATCAGCATTACAATTTCACAGCGATTACTTTTGCTTTTCTTTTGTTTCCTGTTTTTATGCATAACTCAGAACCTATATATTTAATGCATGTATTTGCGTGCCTGTTCCTTTGTTACAAAAAACCACAATAGAAACTTCACCGAAAAGAAAAAAAAACACAAACTCACCAGTTTTTTCTCATTTCACTTTATTTTGGTCATTTTGCAGGGTGCTGTATTTTGCCTTTATAAAACTCACACAAAAATACCAACGATAAAAACAGATGTTTCTCTTCTAAAAATTGTAATTCTTGCTTTGTTTTTTGTTTCTACTATTCTGATAATGTTCTGAGAACGAAAATCCATACAACGTGGGAGAAATAAATTGGCAAAATGTAATGCCCATTTTTTTATTTATGTTCACAGTACATTAAGCTGAGGAGCTATTGCAAGTATTGTTGTCTGCTTCTGATGTTGAGGGTTTTTTTCTTCCTTCCCTGCAGAGAATAGACACGACGACATCTCAGGAGATAACTTCCAGTGAAATGAAGCAAGCAGTTCAGCCACATCAGGAGACAGTGAAGAAGGTTGTACAGGAGACTGTCGTTATGGAGGAGAGACGCGGCATGAGTGTGCATGCGAGCGGGGATCCTGTGAAAGTGGCTGGACTTGCGCTGGATGCCCAGGCTGAGGCAGCATCTGGCGTGGCTGCTGGCCTGAAAGGGAAGGAGGGATCTGCTGGGACTGAGGGGGCCAAGGAGGAGAAAAGGGAGGAGGCTGGGAAAGCCCCAGCCAAACAGGAAGGAGTCGCTGCTGCTTCCCGTGAGCAAGCGGAGGAGCGCGGTACAACAGTCCACCTTTCAGAGTCTTTGGAAAGAAAACCTCATTTTGAGGTAACTTGCTATTAAATTGGTCATGCCTGTGCTGAATTGCGAGTGTAGGCAATAGTGGACTAATTCTTGTCATGGAAAGTAAAGTGTACCAAGCTTGTATGATTGCATCTCTGCAGCGGGCAGTTTTTTTCTCCTCTTATTTCCTCCTTGGTGGCACCTGCATGGCTTGTTGCTGGTTTCCATCACTGGCAAAATGCCGTGCATATATTACCTAAAGGCGCTTCTCATGGGACAGAGGAATACCTAATTTGGTGGCATTTTATGCAACAGATAAGAATTCAGCTGACATTCTCTTTGGGAAAGTCCATCAAGATTGGCAAAGTTCATGTGTCCTCAAAGACAGAAAATACACTGTTTTTTCCATGCTTGGTACGATTGTAAATGATTGTGCTGTGTCTTAAACAACAACAGAAGACTTAAGCCCAGACAGGATTAGTTCTCTAGTCATTTTAAGAGAATGTAGACTCAAAATCACAGAATGGCTGAGGTTGGAGATCTCTGGAGGTCATCTCCTCCAACCCCACTGTTCAAGCAGGACCACTCAGAACCAGTTGCCAAGGACCATGTCCAGATGGCTTTCAAGTATCTCTAAGCATTGAGACTCCACAACCTCTCTGGGCAACCTGTGCTCAGTCACCCTCACAGAATTGTTTTCTGGTGTTCAGAGGGAACCTCCTGTGTTTCAGGTTGTGCCCATTGCCTCCTGTAGAGTTTACATCTTTTCTGAAGTTTGTTTTCATGAAATCCAGGATAGTGCTAAATGTTACCAGCATTGTATACATGTATGTACCACTATAACGAAGAGAATTTTATCTTTTTTTTAATGCAGAGCAGTTTTTAGTTGTTCCCTTGCCTTTTCCCAAGCAAAAAAAAAAAAAAAAAAAAAAAAAATCATTCTGAGAAGTCTGTAACCTTTGCTAGATGTTCCAATTCTTTTTTTTTTTTGTTCACACAGTCGCCAGTTGTGAAGACTGAGACTATTAGTTTCAGTAGTGTTTCCGCTGGTGGGGAAAACCTTGAAATTTCAACAAAGGAAGTGCCAGTAGTCCATACAGAAACTAAAACCATTACGTATGAGTCTTCTCAGGTAAGAAATTCTGCAAAAGCCAGAGTCTAATTTAACATGACCTTAAGGAACCCATGTTTCTTCACCCATCCTTAAGTGTATGCCTTAGTGTAAACTGTTCTAAGATGTTCAAGTATGAAATACGAGCATGAGGAGAATGTAAGTATAGCTTATCTGAAGGTGACTCTCATATCCTGTTGTAGGGCCTTTTGAGAACATTGATGAAGCTACAGATTTCAAAGCCCCAGCTTCTCTTCTGTCCTTCCAAAAGCAAAGGAGAGTCTCCAGGTGCAGAGAGAAATACTTGGCACATCATCACCCTAATAGCAGTTACTTCCTTACCATTAGATACTCACTTTATGAAGAACTGTCAGCCAGCCCAGTTCTTGCCACCCTGTGCTCAGTAGCCTGCCTTTGATGACTGGTTTTCTGTTTCGGTTCCCTAGGTGGATTGCAGTGCTGACTCAGAACCAGGCGTATTGATGAGTGCACAAACTATCACATCTGAAACCACCAGCACTACAACCACTACACATATCACCAAAGTGAGTCCTCAGAAAACAGGGAGGGTTTTTTTTTTTTCACAAAAGTGTATATTTTCTTAACTTCAATTCTATTACTTATTTTAAAATGTGGATGCATGCTTATGTTCTCTGGACAGATCCTTTCTATTTTAGGTACTTGTCTTCATTCATCTGTCTTTGGCAATTCTGGCTTCATTAACGCATCATCTAAGGACTTGACAAGAGTCCTGAGAGTCATAAACCCTTAGGGTATGTCTGTGCAAGCACAAAATGTTGCTGTGCAGAGACTCTTGAGTTAGCTGCAAATACTGTCTGGAACTGGAAGCAGTGTAGCCACACTGGCATCATGTGGTAGCCAGGAAGGAATAATTTGCGTGAGCATGAGGCTCCATTGACATGACTACACTGCCTTTGAGTCCTGAGCTATTGTCCCTGCACAGTGTTGAAAGCATATAGTAAATCTGTGTCATGTAGTCATAATAGGACATTCATTGAGCTCAGGTGCTGTGGTCGCATTGCTGGGTGGTACCCTGAGGAACTTGGCCATATCTAGACAGAAAGCTTATGGCTGCACAGACAAATGGTGTTGGGTCTTCCAAGTTCCAAGATAGCACCTAAATAAGAGTTCCTCTGTAAGCAGAAACCCTTGTAGTACTGTGACAGCTCTCCTACCAGTATTCACTGAGGACAGGATGTCATGTTTCTGCAGTGAAATTCACCCTTCAGTAGATGAGCTATGCAAAGGCCATACCACCCTGTATGTCCTTCTGAAGCCCGCGGTTGGACTTAACTAGGTCTTAATATGAGCTCTCTATATGTCCATTCTTACCTTCATGGGATGAATTTATCATAAATACCTGCCACTTTTAACATACAAACATCTCTCCTGACATGTGTGCAGATGGATTAGAATCATAAAATTGTCTGTGTTGGAAGGGCCTCTGGAGGTCATCTAGTCCATTCAGAGCCAGCCAACTTCAGACCTGCTCTGGTTTTTGTTCAGGGTTGTCCCCTCTGTGCATGCTGTTTGGGATAGTTCAGTCCAGTCACGTCTGGGTTCCTGCACGGATCATTCTCTGGATGAGTAGCAACACTCTTTAAAGTAAGTTACTGACATGTGTTTGTCCCTCCCATCTAGACTGTGAAAGGAGGCATCTCAGAGACAAGAATTGAAAAACGAATAGTCATCACAGGAGATGCAGATATTGATCATGATCAGGTAAAGTCTGTAAGCTGCTAAAGGCTACCCTGAAGACTGCCAAAGAGAACATTTCTAAACATTGTTTTAAAAGATACTATTCATACTGGCATGCCTTAAATTAAACTGGATTAGTAGTTAAATCAGTGATGGTATATTTCATATTTTAATCATTTTCGTCATTTGTAAATTGTGTAATATCTCATGAATCTCTCCACCTTGCTACTGATCATGCATGTTCCACCTCCTTTTTGTTTTTGCCCTTCTGTGGTTTCCTTGGGATAGGCGCTGGCTCAGGCAATTAAAGAAGCCAAAGAGCAGCACCCTGACATGTCAGTGACCAAAGTAGTGGTACATAAAGAGACAGAAATCACACCAGAAGATGGGGAGGATTGACCACAGGTAAGAGGACTAGATGATTTTCCTAGGCATTTACTGGGCTGGCATGTTGCAAAGGTTGTTTTCCTACCATAATTCACCTCTAACTCTTTGCTTTCTCTCACTGGCATTTGCAAGTTGCATTTGTGCTGGTTATCAGCTCTGATATTTGAATGTAAACCACATTCAACTCTTAACTGTCTTTCTTCATTTAATCGTGCCAGCTGGAGAAAGAGAAACTACTCATTTGCTTTTGTTGGCTCTTTGGAAAGTCCTCATTGTCCATGCTTTGATACAGTCTAATTTTCTAATTTTGAAGTCAAAACAACCTGTTGTCTGCTTTTATGTCATTTAAGAACAAGAATAATTTGTTCTTAAAGGTATGTATGCACTTTGTTTAAAAATGCCAAGGGAAAAACCTACAGCTGCTTTTTAAATGTCCCATGCAGATATGTTACAAATTAAGCTTTAATTCCTAACTTGCAAAGATATGGTCCAACTGGCTTTTGTTTTTTTCTTTTAAACTCAGTGAATTAGTGTGTCAGTATTTGGATGTCTTGGCTTTCTTGTATTTGAAGGAACATTTTATGTTTTAAAGCAGCATTGTTTATCAGGATGAGATGATAATGCAGCTTTTCTTGTGACAAGCTTTTCTTCAGTAAAGGCATGCTCTCCAGTTGTGGCTGGCTAAAGAGACATCTTAATCTTACTGTACTTATTCCGCAAAAACATGTCATGCATACTAACCTGCTATGCAAAATCCGTTAATGCCAGCACCATTGCACAAATTGCTTTGAACGCTGTATGCAGAAGGAAAAGAAAAAAAAAAAAGCTGCTTGACTGATTTGTTTAAATCAATAGCAGCATTTTATTCTTAAAACAATACGTATTCCTTAACATTTGGTATAAGTAACAGAGCATGATGCACAGCACCTTTTGAAGCTGTTTTGCTCTCCTGCTTTTGATTATAGAGGCCCTTAAAGAAAACTGAATTTCAGTATCTGTTATTTATTTGGAAAATGGAACCAGTCACTGAGGAGTGAGTAGTTGTGATTCTTGTGGTATTCTGCTAAATGTTTCAGAGACAACATAATGTGGCTTGCTTAAAAGTCTATTGATTTCACTAATTTTTTCCATTGGTATCAGTGGACTTTGGATTGGGGCCAAGTTGCTTATACTGGGATGATGCTGTTTTCAAATAGCTTTCATTACAAAAACAAATTGGCAAAATCTCTTTTGCAAGAGAGTGGTTGCTTCAGATTATTAACTCAGTTCTCTTTCCTGCAGGAATAACCTAGGTTGCATATGAATCCAGACATGCACACCAGTAGGAATGCGAGAGCCTATACGGAGTCTCAGTTCCAACCCGACTGACTTGTATCTGTCTATGGAAAATTTCAGTACAGAAGAATTGACCTTGACCGTTAATAAAGAAACTGGCAGAGAAACCTTCCCATAGAAAGCAATCTGAATCAGCAGCAGTTAAACAATATTGCATGAAGCAATGATAAAATTACAGAAAAGCAGCATTTTTAATTTTCTTAAAATGTCTAAGTTTTCAGCTATACCTGCACGTTCATAAACAATATAAACAGTGATCTCATGTAACACATAAACAGTTCATGCCTTTCACAGTTTATGAAAGTCTAAACAAATTAAAATCTGTTTAGGTGGCAAGCCTTTTGTTTACAGATATTGTAAATGAAGATTACCCCCCAAATGCTAAAAGCTGTATAGGTACTGTGTATAATGTTTTACCACACATTAGATGTGCCAATAACACAGTTTATTCAGTAAACAACTTGAATCTTATATTTGTTTCATCTGGTTTTATTACTGCCCGATAAACAATGATGAATCTTTACTCTTATCAAAATATTTAAATGCTTACAAAGTGTGCTTTGTATACCTGACTGAATACCTTATGAGGTAGTAATGATTTTAGAATATTAACTTTAATGATTTTAGTCAGCATTGTTCAGAGTCAGCTTCCAGTCACCCTTCACAGAGCCTAACCTTGTAAATTATATGTAGTTATTTTGGAGAAGAAAATCTGTATTTTACTTAGTTTGCAGCATTAGAAAATTATTAATCTGAAATAACCGTGATGGTTTTCTATTGATTTCCCTTTCGTTCTCAGAGGAAAAAAAGAAAAAAAAAAAAAATATATAAAATCTGTTTGAGAATCTGGTCAGCATTTACTATCTAGTTCAGAGTCAAGCCTTAACCTGTACAGAACATCCACTGAAAACTTGTTAGTGTCCAGCTATAATACCCACGGAAGGGATAGCGTCCATTACACTGTCAGCTGCATCACAACACATGGTGAATGTATGTTTCTGCATAGTGAAATAAAAGTGGTAAATGCATCCAAATCGTATTGTTCTGTGTCTAAAAGCACCTAGTGTTTTTTAATACTCAAAACGTTGTTATGTTTGTAAGACACCACAGATTTTGCTCATCTGCACAGCAGACACATTTTGCCTTCAGCGGCTGACACTGCACTGTGCAGACAGTTGGAGTTAGCGCAGCATCCGAAGGAATGACAGTGTTCACCTTTGGGCAAATGATGTTTGCAAAGGAAAAGGAATATTTGGTTCCTTCTGTTTTCTCTGGTTGTGTACTGTTTCACCAAGGCTAAATGAAGGATTTTGTGGTTGCTTAGAAAGCAAAGACCAGTAGCGCTTGATCCAGATCCACTCTCTTTTTGTACTTTTGCTCTGAAACATGGATAAAATTCTCTCTCTAAATCAGTACTTACTTACTTACCTCTTCCTTTTTCTTGCTCCTTTGCCACATCTGGTTGACACTCCCCTGGTAGTTTGAGAGAAATTCATAACAAGTAACTCACCCTTTAATCCGTATTTTCTTGCAGGATTGAAAGAAATGGGTACAAGCAGACTTTTCAGGACATAAAGGGCCAAATTCACCCATCATTGTTTACACAGGGCTCCCTCACGTTGAAGTCAATGGATTTGGCTTCTGTAGAGAGCAGGATTTGACCCAGTGACTTGTTAATAAATGTTTATTTTCTTAATTTAGAAAGAAAAATAGTCTATATGGAGAGAATAACCTGTAGATAGTAATTACAAGTAATTTCCCAAGGCTTTTGAAGCTTTGCCCTTAGTCTCTAAGACATTTTCCTTCCACCAGCCATTCTTCATGCCTTTAATGCAGAGCGCTAACTATGTAACTCCCCCGACCGCCATCATTGCTTACCTCTCGCCTAATGACCAACGCAAAGATTACAATCTGTCATGATCTTTGATTGACCTCTCCTCCTCCTCCTAGTCCTTCAGACGTATAGAAGAACATCTGTATTCTCAGCCCTCTCGGTGACCGTAGTCTCCGCTCTCTGGTGCTGCCAGCGCCCGGCAGCAGCAAGGGCTGGAGGAGGTTTTCACCCTGTGTCTCAGCAGATGACATGCCAGGTTCTTGCTATTGCATCAGGAGTTTAAAATTAGACTCTGAAGCCATACTGATCTTCCCTCAGGTGCCCCTTATGTTGTCAGCTAAGAAACAGCATTGTATTACCTCAGAGAGACGCCAGGCGATTGCACAGCCTTCTCTCCAGAGTTAGCGTTATATTTTAGCATGGCTTGAGGAGATTGTACTTTGGTGATACCGCGCAGTATGTACACTGTCTAAAGATACTGTATCTTGAGAAGTTAGTCTCCTTGGAAAGGACTCTCACAGCTAAGATACAGCCTAAGTGAATGCAAACTATAAGGAGATGAGAGTGGACAGGCAAGGACATCTCAGTGCCACTGTTGGCAGTAGACCCTTGTTTGGGGGATTGTTCCTGGGAGTGATAGTTTTGGTTTTTGTTAGAAACTGTTTCTTGGGTTGTCTGCCTAATGCTGTGCCACATGAAATAAAGATCACCTGCCTGTTTCTACCAACCATCTTTTGTCTCTGTTTCTTCTCATTTACTGTTGGTCTTTGTCTGGCTTTTCAACATAAAGCAGCTTAGAAAACAAACCATCAAAAATTGTTATTTGAAAGCACCATTGCCAACGCAGATACAAGTACAGGAGATAGGCTGACTTATTACAGCTGGAGTCACAGCAGACCTGGCTGCTCTACACCATCGAGGTAAGGGACCAGGATGACCAGGCAGGTCTTTGCACACCAGGCAAGAGTGGGCATAGCAAGCAATTACAGCCCTTGTGACCATTACAGATACAGAGAGAATGAAGACATTGCCTTGGCATTTTTAAAGCTGTTTGGAATCGCTTAACATTTATCTCTGAAGTTTTTTAAGGTTGTCCCATCACAAATGACAGGTAATGGTGTTCTGTGTTCAAGCAGTTCAAAAAAAATTTTAACAGGCCTGTAAATCTAGATACTAGATCAAAGCAAGGCTTTAACAGCTTAGTCTTATTTCTTCCCAGAGCAGATTTAAGCAGCTGGCAAGATGATGTGGCTCACCTGTACAACAACTTATATCTGCTGAAATTATAGTTCCTTACAAATAGTTCCTCATGGCAAATAAATTGGACATTGAGTCCAGGCTTCGCTTTGGCAAACATCCTGTGATTTGGCAAATCTTGCTGCAGATTTCTTGCTTTAACCCAAAATAGTTCTGTCAGTTAAGATCACAAGGCTCATTTACAAGCTTCACCTTTACATCTTCCCTCTTCACAAGTAATAAAGGTGAGATAAAGAACTGTGTTCCTCTTTTTTATACAGGAGCAATAATGGTCCAGGTTCTGCAGAGCTAGGAATCAAACCTTAATTTTTAATCATTATTTTTCCTAGTTTAGTCTATTAAAAGTTTGCAATGTGCCTAAGGCAATGCTGAGGTGAGTTGCATGATTTTTTTTTTTTTTAATATTTGTTGAACACACCAGCAGCATGTATTATATACTTTTCATTTTATTGCCCAAACAAAATCCTGTTCAGTCAACCACGTTCAATCAAACTGGCTGGCATTATTTTTATGTTAGTTACCATACAGTCAGAGACGCTACACAAAAAAATATCTCCAATGGACAAAGTTCAAACTAATGCCAAAGGAAACCCCATTTTCATTTACTTTAGCTATTACAAAGCATTAAGAAGAAATGTAATGTTTTTTAGTTACATATGTCCCAAACTACAGGTCACTGTTTTGAAAATTAATTTCGGCTCTTCTATATTTATAGTTAACTTCAAGGAAAATCCTTAATTGGGTTATTTCCCATTCCAGCGTCTTAGATACACTTTCTCCTGAAGCACATAGAAGAGTAACACTTGTCTAATGAGAGGAGATTAAAAACAATTGCTGGATTCTCTTCTTTCCCTTCCCCTCCATTATATAAAGAAGCAGATATTGTTTTCAAGTGTATTCTGTTGGTACTGACCCTCCTTCAGTTGCCTCTACTGATCTAATCTCTTGAGATGCCTTTGCAATTTCTTTTGCTTCTGAAACTCACTGTTTCTAGTTATGGGCTTCCAGTGTTGATGTTTTCTATGGCTGTGTGCCAGTGAAATGACACCAAACAAACTCTCCATCAAGTGTAAGACTGAGTCCTCTCAAATAAGATCCAGGGCTGGGTGAACATGAAGAAATGCTTCCTATGACAACAGGAGCTGAACTGGACCTCCTCAAGTCCTGTATAGATCCCAGGAAATAGTGATGATTTGAGGGGCTATAGCTGGACTAATGGATGAATATGAGAAACACTTAATCCATTGTGCACTTTTTTTAAAGAAAGAGGAAATAAAGCACTTTTCTTAAATCTGTGGATTCCAAAGGGGTTACCAGTCTCACACTGCAAATGATGGTGTGCTGTATCTTTTGTCATGAGTGTTATGCCACATCAGGGAAGAGGCTGGCCATGGTTGGTGTGGGTTCCCTTAGAGCAACACAGAATAAAAACTTGGTCATACACTTAAAAAGACTGGTTTTAGTTATTCATCTCTTAGTTCTGTCTCAAATAGGGATTTAGGTTAAAATATAAATGAGGCATGTTACCATTAGTTTTTACATAAAAAGGTTTTCCACAAGTTACTGTATTCTTTAACTGAAACCAGATTATTCTGTTATCTTGGAAATACTGTTAGCCCTTGTTCATACCCTAAATTACTCTGGTTTGTGACATTTTATTCCCTCATCTCTGTCTCCCATTCAACAGCAGTCCTGCTTCTCAGCTAGAACTGATGGCTGCTGTAAAAACTGTTAGCAGCCGAATTTAAAAAATCTCAGTCAAGTCTCTTCCTTCATCTCATGTTCCCAGATGGAGCTATAGTCTCCATAAATCAATGACCTCACTCTTGCAGCTGAAATGACCATCACTCACTGTAAGTAGGATTAATGGCCTGTCTTTGAAAATGACTACAGTGACACAGAGGGAAAAAGGAAAAAAAAAAAAAAGAATACTGACACATAAAAATATTTTCATTTTTAAACACGTGGCTTTTATCTGTACAGTCTTTCAGCTCTGTTTTCTCCAGTGCAAAACTTAAAGAAGAACCTTTTATTCTTGTTGCTTTTTGTCCAGAGTTTACTAGGAATTTCTTTTTTATTTTCTAGAAATATCTTTGCTGTCTGCTTCCATGGTGAGCTGTACCATAGCTCTTAATTCTGCACACAACCAAAATTCAGGCAACAGTGTCAACTAATCTGAACTGCAAAACACAGATCCTGACACAGATCCTGGAATGTGTGGAGCTTTGGGGCAGCCTGAATTGCAACCCAGAGTGGTGTGTTTCCACACCAGTCCTGCCATATAGTGCACTTGTTGCTTTTAAATACTGGGCATGTGTTCTTTGTTGCATAATCCTGGGTGAGTATCGTGTAAAACAGACAGTATTAGATGAAACACATTAAAGGTCTGAGGGAAGAGTGTTTCATAAATCATACAACAGAACAAATTTAAAAAATGAAAGCAATAAATCTGAAGGTACAAAACCAAATAATTTAAAAATCTTCAATGCTTCTTCCAGTAGGAAGAGTCCAGGTAATATGATGGTCGCTCTTGCCTTAAATCAAGAGTACTACTGGCACAGATAGCCTTCCTCAGTGGATTTACAAGGTTGTTTCTCAGACGTAGCGGTTTTCTGGCCAAACGCAGTTGATAGATTTGGCATATGAAGGCTTCTAAAGACGTTTATATTCCTTTAGTCCAATCTCCAATCCATCTACAATTTAGAGAAACATGAATCT